CGTCGCGTTTTGGTAGCAACTTGGGAGCACCGGGGATCTTGTCGACCCTCTCCTGATGTTCCTTCATCTGACCACGGAGCGCCTTGTTTTCATTTTCCATTTCTTCCATCTTCTTTAGGATGGCTGTTAGCGTGCCATCGTTGGTCTGTGTCTCGATGAGTCTGTTATTTACTAGTGTAGCTTCCGGTTCACCCACGGCAGCAGTGGTACCTACCGTTGGTGTACATACGATGTTATTTTGCGGTAACCTCTCAACCAAGCCACTTAGAGTGCTTGTTAGCCATCTTTCCAATAGCTCTTTGACCGCTGAGGGTGCTTCCGTAGCCGCAGATGTGGAAGCTCCTTTTTCGTGCAAGATCGTCAGGCCTTCGGATGGGGAAGGTGAGATCTCTGCACCTGGTGTGATGCTAGGGGTTGCATTCAGGATGCCTCCGTCACTGGCCTCGTTGAGAGGGCCCAGGAGATTGGTAGTGACACCCAATATGGCTTTCGATCTTGTGCTATTTTCTGCCATTTTTCTGTTTTTGTGTAGTGTAGAGAGTGGTAGTTGGTTGATCTCTAGGTGGATACTATGATTTTGATTCTCGAAATCCCCACAGACGGCGCCAAATTGTTTGGCTCAAAAGTTAACGATATACTTTGTAAGCGATAAAACAATCAAAAATAGAAAAGGGGTAAATCGTAATCAAATATAATAAGCCTAGAGATGCAAAGATGATAATATTGTTGTAGATCTGATATTGCAAAGTGATAATGTTTACCAATAAGATATTTTCGTTAGAGGTAGAGATATAGAGAGAGAAAGCCAGAAAAATGAGAGAGTTATATTAGATCAGATCCCCCTTTTACAATGTGGAGGTCTCCTTTATATAATAGGAGACATTCCTCGAAAGAATCAAAAAGTTACAAAAATAGGTAACGTCTCCCTATCGTGGACGCTGAGTTCTAAATGATGTCGCTTTTGTCCTCACGGCCGAGTCGTACCCGCTACGTTGGTCGGCGTACACTCATTGGACATACCCACTGGCGTAGAGATACTGAGGGTCAAATTTGACCCTATACAAAAGAAATGGTTAAGTTAAATTATCAAACTGTTTTTGCCCATGAGATGAACTTTGCCTCTGAAATTGATGTTTGTACCATGACATGAGGCAAACATAGAGGAAATTAGTTGCTCTGAAGACGAGGTCAAGTCCTATTTCAGTGGTCTATCAAGAATCATAAATTTAATAATTTCAGCTCTTACATGTATGCATGTGCCTCTTAATCTATTGCCATTTGTAAATCTAGCAACAAACCATTCGATCAAACTACACTAATTGGCTTTTAATTTCCAGCCGGAGGAACCCGCAAACCATGCTTTAACTTTAACTACCGTTGAGTTTAGTTCTTAAATTTTCTCATTTGCAAGAAAAGCTGAAAAAAACCCAGGCAGAACGAATAAACAGACAAACTATAGGAAGATTTCAAGACAGGAATTTAAAAGCATTCTCGTACAAAGATACAAATGGCTCAACTTGATCCATTACAAAAAATTTCGCAGACATCCAAAACTCCCAAGTCCAATTCACCAACTTTTGAACAACTTCTACAAGGTTATTTAGTTCTCTGAAAAACTTAATTAAGCATGTTGAGATTAATTTCATTTTATATTTACTGGCTTTTTAATACTGCATTTGATTAGGAAATGAAAGGAGTTGGTCAACAAATACCTCCCCAACAGCTTATGATCAAGAAGAATATACACCAACTCATGGCAAGAAATCAGTTATCACCAAAGTGAAGGAAAAAGCAAAGAAACTCAAATACAGTTTAAGTGGCAAGAAGAAGCTGCATGAAAATGATGTCCACAACCACGACGATAACAGTACACCTTCATGGGGCCCTACTTTGGATGATGAAGATGAAGAAGAAGAAGAAGATGAAGATCCTGAATATCTTGGTGCTCCAAGTAATATGTTCTTTACATTACTCGATCATTATTTCTACATCTTTCATATTCAATTAAGAACAATCGGTACAAGTGTAGATTTACATTCTGTTCTAACCATGGTGAAGAAAGCCAACGTTTTCCAATTATAAAGCAGTGCTAGTAAATGTAGCCTCGTAACAACATGAATTAATAGAGTACGAACCTTAACATGATCACAAAGAAATTTTACACAGTTAATCGTGGATTTAGACAGAATTGAATGATCTTCATATCTCAAGCAGTGGTGGAAGCAGAGAATTGTCACCAAGGGGATTCATAAAAAAGTTTAACACGTAAAATACTAAGGAAATTTATCATCTAATGTATATACATGATAAAAAGATTTGATCATATACATTGTAATTTTCGGCGAAAGGGATTCAACTAACCCCTTGCGTCTACCTAGCTCCGCCCCTGATCCCAAGCTGGAAACCCCATATATACCTACTGCTTATTATCATTGTTATTTGAAGGTATTTTTTGGCAGATAAATTTTAATAGCTTGTCAAGAAAATTATTATAGTCAACTAATTGAATAAGCTTATTAGATTTTTTTCCTTTTCTTATTGAAATTTAGCTTCTTCAATGAGTATATATTTGCTTGAGATGATATATTATATTGCTTGTGTACTCCTGCTGTTGTCTTTAGTGTATGAATCAGAACTGGCACCTGAGGCTTATAAAGAAGCAGCACGACAACACCCACGAGCAGATCCAGTGGTATCCGAGAAGCATGCTGTTCCGACCAGCATCAAACATGAGTTTATTGAACAAGACAATATGGAGAAATTACCTGATAGCCCCAGTAAAACCATAACAGAAACTGTAACAGAGAAGTTAGCACCAGCTTATGCTGCAGTCTCTGATGCAACCCACGCTATTGCTTCAAAAATTTCAGGCCTCACTCTAACAAATAGCAACGAGCAAGAATCTGGGAACGAGCAAGCAGCGCCAAAAACTGGTCATTTTGCTGAGAGTAATGTGAATGCTAGTGGTATTAGCAGCCCAGGAAAATGGGACAAAGGTGTTTCAGTAAAAGAGTACTTTGTAGAAAAATTTGAACCTGGTGAAGGCGAGAGATCACTTTCTCAAATCATAACTGAGGCTATGAGCCCTAGGCAAGCAGCTTCTGGTGATAAAGGTAACGTAGAATAGTATATATGTCTGTATGTGTTTTTTCTCAATAAAGTCGTTCACAACTCTGTTTAATTTGGCCTAACAGGTATAGTGGAGAAGATGAAGGGTGCTGTAACGTCATTTATTCGGCCTGACGATTCCCCTAAATCAACGGAAAATAGCATCAAATCATCATCAGCTCCCAACAATCCCATTTCTACAAATGCTACTTTGTCTCCTAAATGTCCTAGCTTATCTTCTAAGAACATCGTTATCTCTACTAATGATAATTTGCTTCAAGATAATCCCATCGCTATGCCTCATAAGAGTCCCATTTCCACTACCAACGAAACTGCAGCATCATTATCCCATTTTCCTGAGTTCCACAGTGCAAGCTCATCACCTCTCAACTAGTGTTCACGAAGGTAATTATTATTCCAAATTTATATAAAATGCGTAACTAGTAAATTAAATACTTACGTACGTGGCTGAATTAATTAATTTGTTTCTCACGGAGGATTCTTTATTGCAGTTGTTGAGGAACAAAGCCATGGAAGACTTCTCCAACCTAATTAACAGAAGATTGGTTACATACATCTCGAAATAAAGAATCAATCTACTGATTCCGTTTTTTGTGTTAGTGATAAGCATAATTAAATAAAGAAAGAGCATCTGTAGCATTTTGTTTTGATTTTTAGATACGTCGCTGCTATATCAGCGACAAGTTCTTTTTTTAGTAGTGTCAACAAATCTTTTCTTAATTATATACAGCTGATCGCAAATTTGTTTGGGACTGAGGCTTAGTAATAGTAGTAGACGTTGTTGTTGTTGTCAACAAAATTCATTTTGAAGAGTTGTATCGAGTCATGAAGAACATTCTTAGTATGAATGATTTATAATTGCTGTGCCATTGGTTCAATTAAATTATGAAAAAATTATAAAGCTTCGAGTTTTGTTCTTAATATGAATGATTTATAATGAGACTAAAAAACTTACAATTGTAATAGTGCCTGATACAGAAAGGCCGGTTTCTTGTCCCATAAGTAAATCAGCGGAATGTTATTACTTAGCTTGAAATAAGCAGCAAAAGGAGTGTTACAAAATGTTTATGTTCTTTTTGTCCGAATATATAGGTCGCTGTTGATAAAGAATAATTTAGGTAGATACTTCCAAAACAGAAACAAACATTGTTTGCTTTAGAAGAAGAAAAAAAAGGCCAAAATTACTGAGAATGCATGCATATTGATTAACTATGGAATAGTGATGAAACTATATGTAAAGATACGAGTCATATATTTATTGGGTGGATGTAAACACCAAATGAGAATAAGTTATACCGGCAAACATTGACCAGCTAATAATTTGCGCCACCAGCAACTTGGGTCCCTTCTTATATTGAAAATTCAATTGGTTTTGGTGAAAAGTTGGCTTCATTTTTAACTTTTTCTAGTTAATTATATATTTAGATATGAATTAGGAGTGTATGGGTCAAAATCTGATCAAAGGAATTCTACTTAAGGAAGAGCAACCAAGAAGTAACCAAGCCGAAGTTGCGTGTAGGAAGCGATATGCTGGCAAGTGATTTGGCTACGGTCGAGGTCGAACACTCAATTCGGTCCGAACAACCAGTTCAACACTTAGATATTCTAGAGAAATATCCTATGGGATATTCTAAAAATTTAGGTACTCCGGTTAAGGGCTGATGGGTAAGGAAAGTATTTGGTATAAACATCATGAGAAAGTGTGACACAAAGGGAGGAGGACGTACGCATACAAGAAGGGATAGATCCGTAAAAAGAGAAGGAGGTTCCCTGTTGATACCCAATTTTTCCCTATAATATTTTCAAAAGTGCATATATACCTTCAAGACTATGCATTAGCATCAATGGACATTTTTTTCATAATTTCTATATTTTAAATTAACTTATTCTAGTATTTTATTTATATAAGTAATTACAAATTGCATCACAAATGGCTTTATAGCATTTCATAACTTAATATTGCTATTTATAGTTATATTAAGTTCAAATTATTTCACAAATGGCCAGATTTACACCTTTTGGTTACAATTGCACCAATTTTGCAATTATAGTCCATGTATACGTCACTGCATTATTTTACGAAAAATTGGTTCATTATATTTTTTAAAATATTGAATAATTATTTTAAAACACTTCTATGCATGAATTTTTTTTCTTATTGATAATTATTTTATAAAATATTTTTTATCAATTATTTGGGTATTTAACAAACAGCCTTTTTAATTTCTCTAATTTTCGGACCTAACCCTTTAATACCGGCCCTAACCCCTTAATAATACCAGCCCAATTCACCCTAAGCCCAATCTGCACCTACCCGACCCAAACCCCCATCAAATCGTGGTCGTTGATCCTTTAGATCAATGGTCCACATTAAAACTTACCTAATTAACCTAGAACGACCTCCCCCAAACCTCTCATTCACTCCCTCACACGCCGTCCTCTCCCCGCTAACCTCTCCCATTCTCTCTCGATCTACCCCTAACCCTAATCGCCGTCACGTGTGAAGAGCTCCTATCTATGGAGATTCTGAGTATTCTCCGACCATTACCAACCGTGTACGCTCCCTGGTTGCTTGATTTCATGGATCCTTAGCAGAATCTCATGAATATTCGACCTAGTTCTTGCCTGAAACTTGTTTAATGGCCTGTCTAGGGCCGTTCTCGTTTGTGAGTACAAATTTTCCTCCTGCTTTAGTTTGAATCTATGGGTTTTGACCGAGTTTCTTTATCTCTGCTGTTTTGAAAACCCTAGTTTTGCAACTACTCGAATCCATTCAGATCTTTGTAGATCTGAAACGGTTCGAGTATTTTCTGGTATTTTCCTTTGAAAATCCTTTGTTTAGTTAACTGCTTTGATTTTATTCACTTTTTCTGAAATTAGGGTTCTTCCCAGACTTCTCTTCAAGAGGTTTTTCTACTTTCAAATTTTTAATCTAGTAATCTCTTTACATGTTTATTTTCGTATGTATGCTCGAACCCTAGATGTATCTGATGGTAACACTGATTTCTTCTATTATATTTATTTCTGTAAACTAGTCGTATTAACTGACTCTATTTAGGGATTTGAGTGATTTTCCTGTTAAATCCAGTATTCTTTGGGATTTTGTTGCTTAATTGATTTCTATTTAGGGAATTTGAATAATTCTTTCCTGATTAAAATCAGTATTTTTCGGAATTTTTACTTGTTTCCCTATTGTGACTAATTACACTTGCCTTAATTAGTTATCCGTAGTTTGGGGATTTGATTGATTTCGCCATACCTTATATGGTATGGCGTTGATTTATTACCTTATTTGAGTCCTAGTTCTGACCGTTAACTGACTCTCCCCAATTAAAGGGGCCTTTTCCAGATATCTCAATTAGAATTGATTCCATAATTGGTTGATTGCTTCTAATTGATTGAACTGTGACTCTCTTTACCTTATTTGTTTCACTCCCTAAAGTGCTATATATACATTCTCATTCTGCCTCTTAAAACACGAACACACTGTTCTGAATACACATACATACATTCAAACTCTCTCTCCTTTCTTTGGTACTTGTGCTACTGTGGGTCTAGCCGGCTGAAAGGCAAGGCTAGATAGTGGAATTGCACCTGTTTTTCATATTCTGCATTTTCTTCTTTAACTGGTATGTCTCTAGTTAAATTTTGAAACTTAAGCTTATGTGTTCCATGTCTATACATCCATGTTTGTTCCTGTACTAGTTACTCAATTTGTTTCCATGTTTACTGCTTTAGTCGGCATGTTTAAATTATGCCTTCTCTTGTTAAATGTGTAATCAGCATGCCCAAGTCTCACCTGACTGTTTGATATTCTACTAGCATGTTTATTCAGCCATGTTTACTCTCTTTAATTGGTGTAATCATGTTGCTAATTTAGTTGTTTAGTATACTTGGTTGATCCTAATGAGTACACACCCTGTCTTCAACATGACTATGTCTTAATTGCTTCTTATCATTACTAGTTTGTTAAGTCTCTGAACTATTAGACCCTTGTTTGTTCTGTATAGTTGTTGCTCCATATGCTCCCCTAGACCTTGTTGTATGATTCAACTCTCTATGTCCTATCCCCTTTGACCCCTATTTGCAAATTGATTGTTGAATGATTGTGACTCTAAGCATTCTAAGTCTGTGTGATTGCTCTTGATCTCAAACTATTTTTTTCACTATTGATACTTCCTCTAAAATTGAGTCTATTCCTGAAAACCTTTTTCACTCCTGAAGTTTATTTCAACACTGTTTTATGTCAAGCACTCTCACTTCTACTCTTAGACTATTAAGTTCTGCCCCTCTAGTATGTGTACTGCTTAGGGATCCTTGAGATTTCTCTGAACTCTGGCATACCAGGGTTGGCCCTTTCACACTGCACATAACTAATCCTATTTGAGAGATGGTCTTGGTGTGAGCACTGCCCGGGATCCTGGAGGTCCTTAGGGAACTCTGACACATCAAGACACACATTATTGGCTATGAGATCTTTGGCTTCTGAGATTCTGTTGAAGGCCTGGCATTTCCCAGGTTTACTTTGAGCCTGATTTAGGCTCCTATAGCATAGTTTCATTTGCTTATGTAATTCATTTGATCCTGGTATGTAATAATATTGTTTGTAAACAGATGTTGGGGGTGATTAGTAAAAAGGGAGGATTCCTCAATGATGTTTGTGGGAAATTAGGTAGATATCATGCTTTAGATCGATACATAGTAGAAATCAAGCTCTTGGTTTATATACATATTTGCAACAGAAATCCTGCTTTGAGTGCATGTTATGGTAGAAATCATGTTCTAGGCCCATATGCTATGTTACTTGCATCAAACATGTCATAAGTCTATAATATCTGCATTAGAAAACATGGCTTAGGACACTCGCGTTTATATTTTGCATATTAGAAACATGTTATAAGTTCATCACTTCTTTCTCTGACTTTGCATAAATTATTATCACCTGGAAATCCCGTCATTAAGTCATTACTATAATCATGCTTAATAAATGACCATCTCTCTGTGCATTAGAGATCCCGCCTTAGGAATCTGTTTGCATTTGCTCTAAACCATGTCTTCGTCGTTTAATTCAATAACTGTCTATGAAAAAGGGTTTTTAAAACAGTCCAACACGTAGCTATCATGTTCTAATATACACCTGCATGAAATCAGTTTTGTAACATCAATCGCCTAGACCAGCATGCCTATAGGACTAAATAACTTCAAGTTGTTTAATTAGTTCCCAGATTATAACTGCATACAGGCCCACGCCTAGGCAAGCCTTAGGCAATTAAATGAGAAATTCGATTCTGGTTAGGTGTGAAATTGTCCAGGTTTAACGGGCTTCAAAATCAGTAGGCAAACTGATTAGGATTCCGCCACTTTGCCTTAAAACAAAAACTGCATATTCTGTGTTTGTGATGTTCATCTAGATATCATGTTCTAAGGCTTTCTGAATTTCTTCAAAAATCAGTTGTTTGAGACGTGCTATGTATCTGTTTATGTGTGGAGGCAAACACGAGCCCTTAATTGTTTCCCTATTTGGCAGTCCTATGTGATCTTTGTTGTCGCTTAGATTTTACCTTTTAAATACCTTAGGAGTATCTAGAACTGCCTGAGTATAGAGGTCCTAAACGCCTCCGGGGTCACAAGGAAAGGACGGGTAAAGCACGCTTAGAGTTCGTTAATTAAACTCGCTTATATAACCACCAAGGGAAGGGTAATGGATAGTAAAAGGATATGATGACCTGCGCGCTAATGTCACGTGTAGCCCCTCTAGTTGAGGAGGATTACCGGACATTGCACAGATTGATCCTATAGGCTAATCAACTTAGGACTCCCCTCTCCCCAATTCACATATGTGTATTTAGACTGCCTAAACTTCCTTGGT